AAGGTCCCTTCCAGCCCTAATGTCTATGAAATCTATGGAGTGGTAAGGCCTTTATTAGATTAGAATTAATTAGAATGTTGTATGTGTGTATATATATATATATCTATTTATAAAATAGATATATTGATTTACTAGTTGGTCTAATAAAAGGTGTCATCTCTGAACCAAGAGTTTTTGTATCAGACCAACACAGCTACCAAATAAATCCCTGAAACCGGAAGGTAATGCACACACTATATGGTTTGAGAGTTGGGGTTAGTATAGGTAAGCATTTGACACAGACCCACAAAATCAAGAAAGTTAAATCATTTATCATGACATACCTTTAACTCCTCCCCCAAAAGACACCTCCCTTCCAGCACCCGCTAGTGCAGAGAGCTTGATTCTGTAGCATTGATACAGGAGGGGACAGCTGGCTCTGGATGGAGGCATGGAGTTGGTGCATGGGGTGGCTAATAGGCTGGCATCCCTTCTGGAGCAAAGTTAAGCTCATGGTGAGCTGGCTGTGTTTTGTGGCAGACAGTCTGACAATCAGCAGTGTGTTTGTGCATGGCAGAGTGCAGACTGTGTCATGTAAGATGGTAACTTTTACGTGTCTGCTTTTGTGATAGGTACATGAGGCACAACAGCCATAACTTGAACTCAGACCAGTGGTTTTGTGATGATACAGCAGGGCAGTACATTCAGATCCTTATGAATGGCAGGTTCTGGAAAAATTCAAAATTCCTAGCAATAAAGTGCTCTATCTGAGTGCTCTGCTGCTCTATTATAGCCTTTTCTCTTTTGAAGTCAACATTATCCCTTTTCCACATCCATCACTCTTATTAGAGGAAGCCTGGATTTGATTGTACCTACCTTACCTACTAGGTTGTTAAAGGCTGGCGGCTTTAATACCAAGGATTGAAGTTGCTCTGTTTTAACTCAAAAAAGTTTCTGTTGCTGCAGCCTGGTAGATTAGTTTATGCTTGGAAAAGGTGTAAGTGAATCGATTGCATCCTCTAGCCATGCCCTGACCGTTGTAAAGAGGGAGAGAGTTTAAAATCAAACCACTTTTCAATCAGATCTCAGTTCATTTAGTGATACTCTGCCACCACAGATTGTTACATCGAGGCAAGTGAATGGTCCAGCTCAAGCACAGGTCCTTGGAGATCGAAGGATATTTGCTTTTTGTTCCTCTGTGTCCCACAGTCCTGCAAAGCTGCTGTATTACCTAATAAGTGTTCTTGCTCCTTTCCCAAAGGGTTAATTTGGTTGTATCAAGTGCAGAGTTTTAATAACTCAGGTCTAGGAAAGTGTTTCTTTAAGAGGGGATTTAATTTGGGGATATTTTGCCTTTCCTATTCCATTCAGAAAAAGAGATATACTTTTTTCCCAAACGAGAAGAATCAGAGCACCTGTTTTCTGAGCTGGTGTTGTCCATTGATCACTAACTTTTTCAACTTTCATCTTTTCAGAGTGACATGTTGGATGTCAACCAGATCATTAAAGACCTGGCCTCCATGGTCTATGAGCAAGGAGACACAATAGGTAGGTATTGCCTTTACTCTCAAGGTATGTTCTTTATGATCACATTTAGCCATTTAGATTTGAGGTTACAACTGGGCTATTTAGGAGTGTAAAGGACCCAAATGATTCTAGCGCTGGGGCTGCTTAAGGCAGCTCAGTTGCCACACAGACTGTGTCTTATACCATGGTGGGTTTTGTATAGAGGTCCCCTGTGGTTTTAAAAGCTGCCCGTGGTGTGGTGGTCACATGCCTGGGATAGTTAGCTGTTATGGTGAGTATCAAAATGAGATTTCATGAGAGAGACAATTTTTTGCCCGTCAGAAGTGACAGAAATGTAGGAGAAATAGTCTTAATTAGAATGGGAATGACTCCTTTCTTTTGGTCTGGAATTGAAATGCAAGACTACCATAGGAAAGCACGTGGCTTGATTCTGCCACATGAACAATCCTTTTTCCCATTCTTTTATTTCTTGGTTAAAATTGAAGTATCATTGCAGTGTGATATGCTATCAGGTATGCCCTTCAAAGTTGTTCCAAACTTGGCCCCTCCATGCTGTCTAGCCAGCAAAAGCTGGGAACAGCGAGGGGTGCATGCTGGTGCAGTGGTAGAAGATGCAGAGAGTGAGGAAATTCTCAGTATTGCTCCCCAACATCCACCTCTAAGCCTCAGGAGAGGAACCACAAAAAAGGGCAGGAAAATACAGGAGATCCACTCCTCTTACAAGCTCTCTTGCCCTTATATCCTTTGCCACCATCTCCTGTTACAGCAAAGAGAAGGAAGGATCAGATATTTTTTCTCTCCCTCTTGTTTTACAGTGTGAAAAAGATCAAATGAACTATTCAGTGCTTTAAAAAACTATTACCAGGATTTTCTAACCCAAGTGCCTAAACATAAACTCTTTGATCCAACATAAACTCTTTAGAAAAGCAGGCCAGTTGGCAAAATCGAGGTGTGTTGGGTTAGGTCCTAGATGAAGCACACAAACGCCACGGGTAGGTACTCCTCTTAGTCCTGCAGTTAATCATACAGTGGGTGCGCCTACAACTTCATTAATGCGCTTTTGCTAATGCATGTTAAATAGAGTACCTCCATTGTGAGGTACTAGAAAAAGGTGTGATAGCCTGTTTAACAGTACATTAGTGAAAGTGCATTTTTTTTTCTGACTCTTTAATGTGCATTAATATAGGCTAATGTGCATTAAACTGCATGTGTAGATGCATCTAGTGTTTCCTTGCTTAGGACCCCACACCCTGTGTTCATTAATGCATGCCACAGCCACCACATGGAGAAGTCCCATGCTCATTTGCAGAGAGGGAGGGCAACCAGAATGACATCCAAGCTGATTCCTTGGTGTGGCCACTCTCCTCTGTAACTTCTTACTCTGCTTTGTCATCAGCAAGCACAGCAGATGTTAATGCCTTGAGGGGCATGCAAAAATACACCGTTTTTCCCCTCGCTCTTGTCACCAAATTCCTTATGGCAAGACATATCTAAAATGTTACTTATGTGATGGAGGTCGCCCCAATATTAACTGACCTGGGACAAAAGTGGTACAGAGGAGGGCATTTGTGTCTATACCAATATCATGCTTTTATGTCCGTCCCCCCCGGCGCAGTATTGTTAACCTTCCTTATTTTTTTCAGAGTAGTTTTTCAGTCAGTTGGGCAATCAGGGTATCTCCCCAAGCTCATACTGTTCATCTTTTGCTATTTCTGTAGCACACAAGTGAGGGAGACTTAACAATCAGAAGGTAAAGGGGGCTGAAATGCTCTGAATAAAAATTCACCTTCTATGGTGAGAAATTTTTTTGCTATGCCCATTTTTTAATTTACTTCCTTACACACATACAATGAAAGCTCGCAGTGTCTGCGCTCATTAAAAACAAATCATAACAAAATTAAACCAACCAACAAAAAATATTTGGTTGGGGAATCTGTGTCTCACCAGCTAGCAGAATGTACTGGTCTGGCCAGATTATGAGCTCAGGTCACTCCCTTGTTGTCTGCCCACCCAAGCTTGGTAGAAACAATGAAAAGGCAGATTTAAACTTATTCTTGGGAGAAAGGAAAAACCCACAAGTTTGAAGGAACACCTTAATTAGCATAGTTGCCAAGTTGGTCTGCTCTAAAGCCAGTAAACGCATAGCACCTATTAAACATAGCAAAACTTGCTGGAGGGCTTGGGAAGGTTGAATGAATGGAGGAGAAGAAACGTTAAGTTGCTGAGAGTGCACCTGCCATATATGTGCCTTCCACAAATTTATCACTGTCCCTAGGAGCCATGATCAGTGCTCCCAGTCATAGTATTCTCATTTATGCTACTTGTTAGGTGAACATGGATCTGAGGATAACGAGAGCAATGGGCCTGATTCATTAAAAACTCAATAGTTGTATCAGTAACGCAGATTATCTTTACATCAGGCACAGCTCACTTGTGCATCAGGCTATAGCAGTGGCGACCCCAGACAGCTTCTAAGGTAGAGAGCTTTTTGATCATCTTCTCCACCCACTTCCTCACTGCAAGTTATGTTCCACAAATCCCTGTCATATTGCCAATAAATACCCTGTCTTAGTTTGGCATTCTTATCACTGGTGGTAATATGTCTGTGATTGCCCTGAGCAGGTCGCTCCATCGTGTAATCAACACAAGCTATTTTGATGAAAATGAGATTACGCCATGTTGGTCCTGTAATTATGTGGACAGCAGCGAATATTTCCCCACCTTCCACCACCTTGCATTACATGGAACCGTGTGGCGGGTGCAGAGATCCCACCTCAGGAACACA